ATCTGCTGTCAACCAACCAGTGTCTCCCACACATCCACACCGGTTCTCGGGCGGTTGTTACTTTGTCTCGGTTGATCATAGATGGCCGTCTGTGCGCTTGTGCCTTGGCCACGGAGTGGGTGTGAACTTTCTGTGTCCCTATTCGACCTTTCTCCGGCACATGGTAAAATCGGACGCGATTCAGACGTGGGGGCATAATCGCACGGCTCTGTTCCACATGATTGTTCCGCTGCGCAGTAGGTTGATGCGCAGACGTATTACCACGGAATTCGGATGCTCTGATAAAACTCCGGAATTAACGGCTATTTCTTGCAAGTTCCCGTCATCGTGTTGCTTGAAGCTATCCATAGGTACAGTGGGACTAGAGTACAGTCATTCAACAAGCAATGTTGGTCGGATATTCTCCGATTTCACGTACGCCCGTTGACTGGTTGACGAAATGTCATGAATGTTCCTGATTCTGGTGGCTGTAATATGCGTGGTAGAGGACTAGTCGCCTAGGACACAAGACGCCCGAAGTAACCTTTTGTGCTTGCCCAAATATGCCAAATTTTACCCAGAGATCGAAGCAAAATTTGGGGAGACTGCTCGCGATTTACGGCAGACGAGTAAACACGCAATATGCAGCTATTATGTATCGCGGAATACCACTATATTCCATGGGGTTTGGGCATCTCAGCAACTCTGGCTACACTGGTTATTAGGATTAGATAGCCAGTTTTCAAAACGAACACGGTGCGCACCAGTTAACGGGTCATCCCAGCCTAATTCACGTGTACTTCGAGACTCCAACGGACACTTGCCTGGTAGGGAAGACGAAACCTATTGAATTATATAGTGAAGACCCACGTGGAATTAGCTGACTACTTCCTGCTTTATCTCAATTTCCAGAGTGACTGGAAATAATCAGCCGAGTAAACCCTTTCTCCTAACCCTGCTTCTCAGTGGCACCAAAAACGATGTCGTTAGGATTTGGTCACTGGCCAGCCGTCCTTCTGATGAATAGCACAGTTAGTATGGGCGGCCTCTGTTTAACAAAGATCCTGTCTCTATTCGTAGACTGCGTTTTGATCCACTGATATAGTCTAGATTTTATTGGCTTAGCTGATCGACTTCATAGTCAGTTGGTAGAAAAAGGGGAGGGTTGTGGTGAATCCGCATAGCTTATAAGGAGTCATTGCTTCACCGTGATAATTTTGGAAGCATCACCCAAAAACGTTTATTGTCGCCAATTTTCCTGTGGGAATGTTAATCCTTGACAGGAATAGCTGCTACGTGTAATGGGTTCTGGCTACTTCGAGTCCATTCATCCTGTGAAGTTGTTCCTACCCAATTGCCAAAGGTTGGTACAGGTAACACACTAAGATACCCTACTCTACAACACAATCACACATGTCATACGATGGGCTTACAGGCTCTAGCCAGCTGAAAGTCAACTAGACAAAAATCACCTTGTACACACCAAACTGTTAGGAACGTACATAACTAAGAGGTCCGGAAAATTGGGAACCTTGGGAGTGGGAACACAAATTATGATGCAGCCTCGAGTTGTTCAGGAAGCTAGTATCATCTTTCCCATCCGGAGCTCGGCTGTGGGCGGCCTCTTACATACCGTTCTCGAGTCCAATGCCCGGATCAACTTCGTGCAACCGTGGAGCGCGTTTTCACGTGACAGCTGAGTGAATGTTGCATTCCGATCCATTTGTGGTGCACCATTGAACGAGAAGTATACGAGGTTCTCTCTCAATAACGATAAACTGAGTAATGAAGTTGCAGACTGGAATTCACCACCCCATTTTGAATATAGAGCTAGCGGAATGAGATGGGTTACCGTCAAAGTGGGACAGTTCTACGCTAGCCATCAGTGGGTTGATGGCGCTGACCGTTTGATCACCGATGATTACCTCCAAAGATTATTATCATGCTCTGAAGACTTTTCATCCACATGACAGTATTGATTCAGTCGATCTATCAAAGTTAATGCTGGAGCTGAGTGATTTTTAAGGCCTTCAGAGCCGTTACCGTTGCGATTAGATTCAGGAGATGGCAGGTGAAACATTTTGTTCCGCCGTGTCGAAAGGAGACATAATACGCGCCTTTTCTGAGACGTCTGTTTGATCCAAGACAGGTTCAAGGGTTAGAATGATTCAGTTTCATGAAGGTGAGTACTGTTAGAATAAAAACGGCATCATCTAGTGCCTGGTGATGCCAGACCCTCCAAGTAGACAGAATAAAACAGGGATGGAATTCTATACGATACTCTTGATGTAAAGCGTTTATTCGTAATACATATACAAACCTCGACGGTACATATCGTCTGCGGCAAGTAAGTTGCTGGCGAAACACGTTCAAGAAGGAACATTTACGTTTTATATAGAGGACTATAAGTGAAATACACTCAGTTGTAAATAAATTTGGTTCTCACGAGAGACTCA